TATTCATGAGATTAGCCCCTATGACGGCGATTTATTTTGTAATTAACCGTGGGAAGCTAACGTAAAGTTATTACTAATTAGCACTAATACGGTTTTATGTATAATACCAATCGAAACATTATACGGTAATATATAAAATATATAAAATACGATCTAATATTAATCACTATAGTAATTAATAGTTATTAATAATTGGCATAAAAATTATAATATTGCTATATATTATACTTAACCAATTTCATATTAAATATATTTTATAACAAGTTTGTTATTAAAAAATTATACAAAGTATAATACATCAAACATATTTTACCGATTTTATAAAATTTTTGTAGAAATGTTATAATAAAAATGTTATAATAAAAATGTTATAATAAAAAGTTAAAACTGCTAACATTAAAAAGCTTTTTATGCATTATGCTCTATTAAATTGTAATTTATAATTTTACGCTCGAAAATTATTTTATTTTCACAGTAATGAAATTTACCAATTTTAATAATTTTTTACAACATTAGATATCTCGACAGAAATCCCTGTAACAATTATAAACTATAAAAAAAATTTAGTACTTTCAGCAAAAATTATTATTTAAAGCATTGTAGTTTATAAAATAAATAAATTTAATTACTTTTATTTTTCTGCTTTGTAAATATTTGTTTATATTAATTAAAAAATTTAGATCGCATAAAATTATAATTTTATTTAGCACTGTTTAATCAAGAATATTTATTGTAATAATAGAATTTTAATTCTTGTAGAACAAAACATTTTTTTGTAGTGTAGATAAACGAATCGTAGTAAGGATTGTAGATATGGTAATATTCGCAGGTATTCCTCTATAAAATTTCATGGCAGTAAAAAGATTCGTTATATATTAGACGCACGCAATACTCGTTGGTGGAACACATCTTATAGCTTTTTCTTTCGCGAGCGAGTCAATTGTCAACGTAACAATAGTCGACGGATTCGAAGACGGGGAAAATTCGCGCTTTGGGAGAGGATGGGATATCTTTCCGGATAAATTCCTCTATAAAAGGCCGTGAATGCTGGGTATTAGCGTCACTAAAGCGTCGTCTTGCGCCGTCCTCATGTAATCTCTGTCGAGATTACGACGTCCGTCTACGGAATCCTGTGGGAACGGAAACACTTCTTCTCACTTCCGGTGAAGTTTCTGCTCTTCAGCATATTTACTTTAGTCGACAACGATCGTATCGCGTATCGGAAACGGCAATTATTCGGATAACGATTATTGAGTTCTTTCCGCTAATTTCATTGTGATGGGACAATATTTTCTTGCATACGACTAATAATCTATTAGAGTCGAATTGATCTGCTCATATGTATGCTCTTGTACCTTTCTTTTTGTTAAATTTAACTATTAGAAAACTGCAGCTGCTAAGAAAAATTTCTTGATTAAAAATGAATAAACTAGAAGATGATCGTATTAATTAGAATTCTGGTTATTTTAACTAGAATTTAATAGATTCAACCTGAAAATTCTGATTTATATATTTTCAAATTAGAATTCCATTTAATGCAATCAGATTCTTTTTTTCATGTATTGTAGAAACTAAATTTAACTTAGGCTATTTAATTAGAAAAATAGAAATGTAATTAACAATTTTTCTTTCACATTTAACTCTCAATATTACTCAATACACCATACCTGGTTTTTTCCAAAATGATTTTTTTTTTTAAACTTTTGTTTATTTTATTGCTTACAACTTTTTTTATAAAGATACATACATTTTATAAAGATATGTACATTTTATTATATTTCTTAATATCTAACATTTCAAAAAAGATAGTTACAGTATGTTTATTTTTAAAAAGAAAGTTACGAGTAATCAAAGTTGGGTTAGGTATGCCATACACGGTGCTATATCTGTGAAAATGGTGTGTATATATGCATACATATATATATATATA